ATCTTAATGCAAACAGACTCCTTGTTTCTGGCAGAGAAAAGTGATGTTTCCCCCAAACGTTATTGGACATCAGAGCAGATAGAGGACATTCGTCTTGTGTCACAGAAAGCTCAAAACATGCCGGGGACTACAGGATGTCTTCTCACTACCTGTAGGTTCCTTTTCCCCAACATTCACTTGGTGCCTTATAAAATGACCCAGCCCCCCACCATCATAAATATAATATCTTTATATTCTTGCAACCCTACTGAAGCTGTGACTCACACGGTCCAACTAGGCAAAAATAAATAACAAGGAATTTTATTCTTTTTACACATTGTCCTTAAAGAAGACACAGAGATGCAGTTTATGAAGTTCTATGGCACTACTGCCAGGCCGGGTGTTCTAGTGGTTAAGATTTAGTGCTCTCACTGCCACAGTCCAGATTCCTTTGCAGGTCAGGAAACCACACGGCTGTCTGTCGGTTGTCATACTTATGGCAGCCATGTGTTGCTGTGATTCTGAAAGCTATGCCACCTGTATTTCAAATACCAGCAGGGTCACCGATGGTGGACAGGTTTCAGTGGAGCCTCCAGACTAAGATAGACTAGGAAGAAGTGGCTACCCACTTCTGAAGAAACTGACCATGACATCCTATGACCAGCAGTGGAGCATTGTCTGAGATAGCCCTAGAAGGTGAGAGAATGGTGCAAAAAGAATGGGCAGGGTTCCCATGTACACAGGGTCACTAGGAGTCGCAATAGACTTGATGGCACTAACAGCAATGCCACTACCCTCTCTCCATTCTTGCCAGTATTTTTTCACCCCAAACACTTTAGAACTTCTTAAATACAAAAATTTTTCCAAGATTCCCCTTCCTACCGGGCACCATAAGACTTTCATTTCTCCTCTGACATTTTCAACCTGAAGTCTCCATCTTACAGTCCCTGTAGACATGTTCTCTTTTCCAAGGTGCTACAAAAATATTGAGACAATATTTAAAAGCTAGAGATTTCCCATAATATCTGAATATCTGGCATCTTTTAAAATAAAATCAGAAAGTCTTGCTACGCTGCCTGTTTTCTTGGCTAGTGACTGTTACAGCCGAATAGCTTCCTGCAGCAGAGAATACCATCTTCGGTCAGGGCATGCATCCTCCCCACCCCCAGTGCATCACAGTCCTTGTCTTTTACGGTCCTTCTGATGTTCAAGTGCACTGGTCACCATGTATCCTAGCTTTTGCACGCTCATTTTTCCCCATAGTAAGGAAACCTTTCTCTGTGTTCATGTCTTTACCAAAAGGGCGAAATTGAAAGACTGACCAAGAGGATTGCAGGTAATAAGAAAATTGGTTATTCGTGGCTATAAAAAATTATTGCTTTGAATCCAATAAGGCAATACTCAGACTGGTTAACTCATGTCAGTTACCTGCCGGGCCCCTGTAGGCATGTGAAATTATGACCGCAATATAGATCTACATAATGTTTTCTACATCCCTCCCCGCTCTCTCCTTCTCCTTTACTCAAGTCCTCCTCCCATCTATTGTAAAGTTACATATTACGACAACTCTTCTCAGAGGGTTGGAAGTTGAAAATCAGATTAGCCATTTAGGGATGCTATTTGGAGAGCTAGGGGAAAGGGACAAATCTCTCAAGACCCCCAGGAGTAAAAGGGAGAGAACTTTCAGATGTGGGGGATTATGATTCTAGAGCCCAAGTGATGGTAAGGCAAGAAAGGACAGACTTCAGGTTATTACCAGAAGTCTAGTTAATTAGGTTCACAAGCAAGAATGCACAGATTGAGTCCCAAGAGGTTGCTACCTACAGTCATTTGACTAGTAACAAATATTCTTAAAAGTTGAAGGAATTTAATGATCATGGACCAGAGTTTCCTAAGTATCTTTCATAGACCACCACTGTTGAAAAACTCTGCTGAAAGGACTCCATGGCCAACCAACTTTGGAAAATTATTTGTGTATGTTACTATCTTTTTCTGGAAGACTCACAAGGTATTTTCATACTACAAAGGCTCTGAGAGGTCCTGCAATAAAGAAACCAATTTAACTTTAACCCAACGCTTCCAAAATTTATTTCACTACGAAACTCTTCTTTGCAAATAACAATTTTTAACTTCCTATGGAATTAATGTTGCACTTATGCCTTTCATGATAAGCTTCTCTACTGAATACAGATTATTTTTATAGGTGCCGCCTCTTTTATCATATCTTTTTATTTATGAGCCTGTCCTTTCCTATATTGTGCAAGTGCTTTATAAACTTGAACTTAGATAATTTCCTTAGGTCTGTATATTTTATTTTAAAGTGACTTTGCCTTTACCATTTTACAGGGTGTGTGTGCATGTGCGTGTGGCAGTTTTATACTAAAGTATTCCTTTCTACTAGACACTCCCTAAAAATAACTGAATGTCTCTATCTAGGGAATGTACATTTCTGTTCTTTGACTTTCTTTTTTGTAAACCAGTTTCCTTAAGTTGACTTTGCATCCTCATAAATCACTTTAGCACATGGCACATGATGGGCATGAAGAAAATGTGGAACTATACTGAGCAGATTGTAAATTTCGTAATAAGCAAGGCACTTACTCTCGTGGTTCTTGTTATTTTCCCATTATTTGTCATTTCTTCTTTTTTCAGAATTCAGTCTCGAACAGGGATTCTCCTTGAGGTTTCTTCTAACCACTGAGAAGTGAGTTAGTCAGGAAGGCAAGTAAAGTCGTTATTAGTTGCCGAGCTTTGGGGCAGACATGAATTGCCAGCAGAAATGTGATGGTTGATAGGAAACTGTTTTACCATGATTAATGTTCCACTCTGATACTGGGGAAAACTCATTTTTATCCTGAAATTTCAATTGCCCAATGCTGGCAAGCATGAGGATGCCTTTGTATTTGTTTGCATTCGCGTGCGCGTGTGTGTGTGTGTGTGTCGAGAGAGAGAGAGAGAGAGAGAGAGAGAGAGAGAGAGAGAGAGAGAGAGAGAGAGAAAGAGACAATAGATTAATGAATGAATGTTAAGTCTTTGGCTCAACTTGCATGTGTTTATTCACAAGTCATTTTTATCAGGGAAGAGAGTGATATCAGCAAATATTCAGAAAATAAGACCTGAAATCTACATTTAAAAAGTCTTCATGTACTTAGAGTATTTGGAAAAAAAAGGAAATTAAAATTAGTAAAAACTCATAAAAATATACAAATATATTCTCTAGGGAAATAAGACAGAGTGGATGTTGTGAACCGCGCTTTAATACATACGGTAAAAAAATATTCGAGATTCCCATCAAAATTATAATTTTGTCAATTGCTTCCAAAGTTCTACAAAGCAGTATTTTTTGTCATACATACTAAATATTTCACTACCATTGCTTCTCGCTGACATCTTTATTATTCAGTTCCTTTGTTTAGCTCAACTGTAGGAATTCCAGTCCATTCATGACAAATAATATTCTAGCCAAACGGGGTTGGATAAACCATTTCTCCACATAAATGAGTAAAGGTGTGACTGCATTGCAGGCTATGCAGGCTATTTTAACCAATCTGTGAAGTTTCCTGGTGGGATAAAATGTCATGGGATGTCATGATGACTTGCATACCTAGAAGTATGTAGGCTGATTATGGGTAAATCATCATCAAAATGTGATAAAATTCATTCATAACGCACTGGATGGAACTAAATCACTAGTCCCCAGAGATTTTCTTTTCTTGTTTTTTTGAATTTTCCTTTCTCATAAGATCCTGTATTTTGAAATATCAGACAGTCTCTGCATTCACGTTTAAAGACGGCCTCATCCTGGGCATCCCAGGAGAAAATGGGACAGCTCCCAGGTCTAGGAACTAATGGATATTTTCTCCTGGCTGCTGATACATACCTTCCCTGAAATGGGTTCTCAAAAACTTATGTTCATGGAAGGAGAAAATATTTGGATAGATATTACTTATATAGAGCCCTAGGGTCCAGAGTTAATTTAAATTCAGAACCATAGAATTGGAGAAGATTTAAGGAGGATTTCTGTTGGCTCTAAGGCTTAAGGAGGCTCTGGTCAATGTTCCTGCATCAGGCACACATCAGACCAGTGCTGGACAACTAGGTTATTCAAGCCTAAAGTCTCAGCTTTGATGGTCGTATTATATTGCAACACTTTCGTAGTTCATACTGATCTGGGAGCTGAAAGGGTAAAGCTAGAATTGGAAAGTGGTATCATGCCACTGTATTTGAAATATCTTTTTAAAACAATACTTTTTTTTGAGTCATTTGTAACAGCATTATTAATGTGATGGGGACACGGATGAGTGAAAGTTGAAACTGTATCTGATCAGCAGTCCAGTAGGAGGCGAGGAACAAAGTAATGATAATTATTTTGGACAATTTTTAAACACAGCATAGCAGGTTCCCATCATTAACGATATGTTCTAATTTTTAACAGTCTACTGTCAGAAATTAAAGAGTTTAAATATATGTGTAACTTTTGTCAAAAAACAACATGGGGCAAAATGACCATGTTTGAAAATAACTGTTCTTTAGTCATTATCTCAGCAGAATTTGAAAGTAATATTGAAGTGAGATGTAAAATTTTTAAGAAAAATTGGGAAAATATTTCTTTTTTTCCACAACCAGTTATTTTAAATTCAATGTAATTCCTACATGGACTGCCTCTCATGTGCTCGGTTACACATCTGGTCTAATTAATAGACATTGGTGATAGTCACAGCTATTGATCTATCACAACTCCTCTTTAGGTGTCAAATTCATGAAAAAATAACTAATTAGTGTTTCTTTAAAACTTCTTTGTCGGTAATATGAATAATAACCCTAAACATATACTTCCAAGTTTAAGTGTGGTGTAACAGAAAGATGTGTTAGTTCAGATATCAAGTCTACTGTTTGCTACTTGTGTAACATTAGTCAAGTCACTTCATTCGGAGCTTCTGTTTCCTATATTTGAACATAGTGGTAGTGATACAGTATGTCTCGCAGAGTCATTGTGATATTTAAATAACTTGTACCCAAAGGTGAAAAAGCACATCTGCTATGTGACCGTAATTCCATGAAGTGTTCTGCGCTAACTCTTGAGGAGGTTATGACATCACAGGAGGCCACCAGAGAAGATGGAGATCAAGATAAACAAAGGTAGAGAAAAATGTACTTTATTTGCCACTTGGACCAGCATGACAAAAAGAGCAAGGTGTTCAGTGCAATGAACACTATTAAATAACCAAAATGGTGGGAGACCTTAGGAAATCCAACCACCCTCTAAACTTTCTCCTTGTTTGTATAGTAAACTTTCCTCATAATCCCCTCAAACCAGAAGACCAACTACATCTCCTGATGTTAACTTACAAGGCCTATTTTTCTCTACATTAAATTAACAGAGGGAGTATAATGAGCATCTCCTTCTCCCCTCTACATCCATTTCCTCTTTCTCTGTAACAACACCTCTGTTTTTCTCTGGAAAACCATCCCTGAAAAGTAATCAATAGCACTAAGTGGTGTCTGGCCTGCTCCTCTGTATCTTTACACTTAAACATATAGTAAAATCTAACATAGATTTAGATTCTATGTATATTTTTGAACTACGTATATCATTTGTGCGTGTTTTTTCTCATTCAACATTATTTATCAGGGATACATTATGTTCCAGAGATTTAGTTTATCTTAATTCGCTTAGTTTCAGTTTATTTATTTTAATTATTGCTTATGATTATACCTCCCCTTATCGGAAGGACATTTATTATTATTTATGCCTCCCCTTATTAGAAAGACATTTAGTATATTCTCAAATTTTTCTTCTTACCACTTAAAAAGATGATACACATTTTTGTGTACACATGTGAGAGTTTCTCTAGAGTAATTCACATAAAAGGGAGTAACTGGGGCTCACCCAACATGGGCACCCTCCACCTAATTGATGTCAAGTGAACTGTCAACTGATTCATCCCACCAAAAGCCAACGAAAGTTCCGCTTATTCTGTATGTTCACCAACACTTGACACTATTAGATTTTTACATTTTCATGAATATGATGGACAAAATTATTACTATCTTGCATTGCCCTGATTATTAGCATACTTTTCATGTTTATTTGTCATTCTAATTTTCTCTTCTGCAAACTGACAGTTCATATTCTTTGCTGATTTTTCTGTTGATGGATTTCCCACTCATGATTGGAAAGAGTTATTCTCCGATCGTTAAATGTTGGGTTCTACATGTCTTGAGGATAAAGCTTGTTAATTGTATCACTCAAACTTTTTTTACCCTTAAAAGATATCAATCTGTTTAATCTGTATGTTTCTGAGAAAAGTGTATTAAAATATCCTACCATGATTATCTGTGTATGTGTGTGTGTGATCCGATCACTTTTACCAGAGAGAGAGATTGATTTCCTTGTTCTCTGTGGTGAGTTTTTCCTTTCATAATATTTTAATGCCTTCTTTACTCTTGTTAAGGATTTTTGCTTTACATTCTTTTTTGTCTCATATGTAGGCTTTTTCAGTTTTATTGATCCATCTCTCAATATTTTTGTTTGTTATTGTGTTTAAGGTAGGTCTCCTGTAGGCAATGGCTATCTAGATTTCTAAAAATTCATTGCAGGACCTCTGTCCTTTTAGTAGTGAGTTTGTGTTCTCTTTATTGTGATTATTTGGATTTATTTCTACTACCGTCTTTTGTGTTTTCTATACTATACAATTTTTATTTGCCTTTTTCTCCCTTTCTCCTCCTACTGAATTAAACTTTTTTTTTCATTCCTTTTTCTTCCCTCTATTAGGAAGCTATACAATTTATTTCTCCTTCTTCACTGGTTCTGCTGAATTTATAACATTCACTTTTGACTGAAAAACTTAAAATTGGTTGGTGTATCATTTCTTCTCTCAAAGAATACTAAATTTTTTGAAGGCTGTAAACTTGCTTACCTAATGCCACACTCCATGGTTATGTCCACTTTTGTTAAATCCAGTGCTTATAAACCCCTTAATACTTGAGTTATGCAGAGGCGATGTGTTATTTGTATTAACCCACATGAGAACAAATTTCCTTGCTCGTCATTTCTTTTTGCATCCTATTTGCTCATCTACTTCCCTCTCCTTTCTTCTGGAATTAGCTTTCAGAATTTATTTCTATAAAGGTAGATGAGCAGTAATCTTTGTCCAAACTTTCCCTTATTTTGCCCATACTCTTGATGAACAGTTTAGTTAGGTGTGGAAATACGAAATAACAGTTGATATTTTTTCCTCTCAGCACCTTTGAAGGTATTATTCCACAGTTTTCTGGCTTTTCTATTGCTGGTGATTGGTTTGCTGCCCAATTCTTTTTCGTTTTAAAGTAATCTGCTGTTCTTTCTGATTGTTTTCAAGGCACCCTCTACCCCCACTTTTTTCCTGGAGTGATTTCTCTATGATAAAGATGTATGTCGTTTGTATGTATGAACTGGTGTTTTCTTTTAAATGTAAATTGATATATTACATAAAGTCAAATCAAATCTCAACCATTTTGTCTTTGCATATTGACTCTCCACTCTTCTCTAATTTTTTATTTTGGAAGTCCTCCACAATTTCTCCATCTCCATGCTTGGTAACATCCCTTTCATTTTCTCCTCTGTTCATCTCTTTGTGCTAAATTCTGTGAAATTTTCTCAACCTGTCTTCTAGTTCACTTATCATCTGTTGGTCTGTACCTAATCTGATATTTAAACCTTGATTATGGGTTACTTTATTCAAATAAATTTTATTTTCTATACTTGCCATTTCAGATAACTTGATTTTCCCCCTTTAATCTATCTGTCTTGGTCCCCTGTAGTGCTCTGAATTTTTGTGATAGTGTCTATATTTTCTTCTACCTCCTTAGTAGTTTAAACACAGTATATTATAGCCTCTTTTACATGGCTTTCTTACCTGATTCATAGGGGACACTAGCAGAGTGAATTTAGACTACAAAATAGAGTATCGTGCAAGCTTGAGATGTTTTTCTTTTGTTATTTTCTGGACTGGAGAGGCCTAATTGCTTTGTTTTACTGTAACAAAGGGGACTACCTTTCCTGAGGACTAGCTTTATGCTGAGGTCTTGTTGCTTTCTATGGGCCCAAAGTCATACTTCCATTCCCAAGAGGACTTTAACAGCCAATAGCCCATACTCATTATGGCCTATATCTGGGCACTGCTACCTTCTCTGCCTCTGTCCTCTGGCCTCTGTGGCATTATAGTTCTGTCTTGAATTTTCCTCTGTATTCTTGACTCCTGGGCTCTTTCTTTCGACTCTCTCAAATTCATCTCTGTGTCTAAAAAATGTTAAATTTTGTGTCATCCACACTCTCTAAGTGTCTATTTTTAATGACCATTGGAAAGTTAGTATTTCCTTAATCTATCATAAAATAGAAGTATAGTTCTTTCCACTGTCTTTATAATTTTTGATTAAAGATCGTCCTTAATTAAGATTTAAGAAATAAATTTGGGAAATAGTATTTTCTTAACCATTTTTGGTGTTAACTATGATTGACAATTATCTAAAATTGCTCCCCTTATTTTTCTATAAGTGCACACCATTCAATAACCCTAAATCTTTATTTGGTATTGAATGTACCTAAATCTTTATTTGGTATTATTTGGTATTGAAGGTTTTCGCAGTGTCTCAGATCTTCCATTTGCAACATCATTTCTCACTCTATAAAAAGGACGAGAAGATTGAGAAAGCTATGTGAGAGATGGCTGCATGGGTTCTGAATCACAATAACTAGAAATTTCTGTATAATATATAGCATCACTCAACTCTTTTATCATTTGAGTCTTTCTCCTAAAAATAATATATTAGCAAAAGCCATGGATAATTGAGATTTCTATTTAATCAAAATAAATTTTAATAGAAAGTGGTCAGATAAGTTGTAATGTTTGGTTATGTTATACTTCTTAGTAAGTTGTTTTAATTAATCTTACAATTATCTTGGAAGTACATTTTCTTCCTCTTACTATGAATCTTCCTAAAGATTCTTATAGGAATATAATAAAAGCATGTTCTAAGTGGCTTACAGGTTTCTTCTGCAATTGTGCTGCTTAAGGTTTCCCTGGGGTTGGTCTATCTTTTTTGTATTGTGTGCCTCTATTCTTACTCCAAGGGTATCGATGTTTTTCTTCTATATACTTTCTAGACAAGAATCCTAAAATCCTGTTGAAGAAGGGTCAGGAATATAATGTATTATTCTTTTCCCCGTCATAGTGCTGTTTTTTTCTATTTTTTCAGCATGTACAAAATCATTACTATATATCCAATGATATTTGTTGCCCATAGTTCATCTTGAAAATGGATTTTAGTATCACTGGGTTCTTTTTTGGAGGGCATTTTTATTTGTAAGAACGGTAATGGCCTAAAAATTGAATGCAACAAAATGAACTTACTTTATATTCTAATTTCATTGCTGAAATGTATTAGGAATTCCTGACAAGATGCTAGAAAGATGTTTTTAGTAGAATATGAATATTATTTACCCTCACTCTTTTTCTCTTGTGTTTTCTTTATACCAAGTTGAACTCCTGCAGGAGAACAGGGGTGGGATGGGGAGAAGACCCTGAATAATAACCATATCTGACTCCCAAAAAAAAACAACTCCAGTATCTTCTCACAAGACCCAAGTATATTTTAACAATGCAGTGTGGAATGGTTGCACTAAAAGAGAGGAAAAAGGAAAATGGTAGTGCTCACAGTTGAAAAAATTCTGAAAAGAGTCTGGATAGTAAAATCCCCTTGTCATCTTTGTCAACCATCTAGATGGGGCCCTGTGGAGAGTTAATCCAAACAGTCGTCCAAAACCTCACATTCTACATTATTCCCTCTGCCATAATTATTCTCCAAACTTGACCATTAAGGGAAAAGGAATGTCAATCCTCAAAACAAAACACAAACACAAAAACTCCCAGAGATTTAAACAATGAATAATATAAGAATCATAAAAAGGCTTAAAAGAATCCAAGAAATAATGTCTACTTGGAGAAAAGAGAAGTGTAAGAGACGTACATAACGTACAAGACCATCACATCTTTAGAAAATACCTGGGTGGTCTTATCTTCCTGGAGATTGGCTTAGAAAGACTAAGAAGACATTGCTGGGAGTTTTGCTCCCTGGGATATAACAGTAAAATTGCCAGG